ACCGGTTGGCATATCTGGTGCACACTAGTTGTGCACCAGATGCCTCAAAACCAAAACCAAACATTTTCAGGCAAAACCAACTCCTCCAAAACATCAACAACACAACATAGATAATCTAATAGCTCAAATAAAACATGTATTTAGAATTTCTATTCATTTCTAGCACAAACAAGACTTCACAGAGTCTATAAAAATAGCTTTGGGAATCCATGGGTTATACCTTTGTAGACCTCTTCTTTTTCTAGCTTGGTTCCCACCTCATTCTCAGCTAGCTATTACCTCCTTCACCTCTGCTTTGCTTGGTGATTTTGCAGGGAAGAAGCTCAATGGTGGAAACAAAGAGGCAAATGTCTAATAAGGGTTAAATTTAAAGGAGCACAAAACCCTAGGTTGATCCCATATGATTGGTTGATGACAAAAGTGTAATTCCTTTAGCAAAAGATGACTCAGGAAAGGTTTTGGATGTCTAGTGGTCCACCATGCTCCATAGACCAAGGGCTAAAATTGCTATTTAAAATACTTTGGGTTGAAAATGGAATTTTTTCAAAAAGTTTTCTAGATGAACACTTGTTTAAGGCTTCTCAGAATTCTCCCGGTTTCACTCAGATAAATTTCTCAGTTCAAAACGTTGCACGCAATGTACCCGAAAAATCAGGATTTTGGAATTAAATCCAATCTTGGTGTCGAATTGAATTTAAAATGGCTTGAAATAAAATATCCAACACCGCTTCCTTTGTAAAAATTTCTTGTGGAGTGAAAATGGATATTTTGGATTTTCTTAAAACTGAAATTATAAAATAAATTTTGGGTTGTCACAGTTTCATTTCCCTAGTTTATCGGTTGTTAGTTTGACTTAAATGTTTTAGTTTTTACCCTTAGCATGTGCAGTTACCGTGGAGGGTGATTGTGGCGGGGAAACTCCTTTAAGTTGTTAATTAAGTTTATTTCCACTGTTTAGTTTATCTTTGAAGGTTTAGTTTGTTAATCAAGGTTAAGAAAAAAGGGGTGTTACAGCCACCATCTCCTCCGGCCCCTCACCGACGTTTCTTCCTCCTTCACCACCGTCCCTCGCCATCTCCAACTCCAGATCCAAGCTTCTTTACCTTTTTTCAGCGGTTCAATAAATTATATATATATATATATATATATATATATATATATATATATATATATATATATATATATATATATATATATATATATATATATATATATATATATATAATAAAGTTCAAATGCGGCGGGGTCTTCCCGTGCGGCGGAATTCCAGAATACACCAACAGTGTTAACAATATGCACCAACAGTGTATGAAAAACACACCACAATGAAATGCAATAAAACATCACAAAATACAGAACAAGACTAAAAAACAATACACCATATAACTCATCATCCCCAATGGTGTATTTCGGAACAGTGTATGATGTTTTTACTCACACCTAATGGTGTGTGTTTGGTGATGCGGGGCTCTGTTTACTCTGTTTTTTGTGGTGTATTTTCCTAACGTTGATGGTACATATTTGTTGAACTATTGGTGTTGCCGCACCGTAAGACACTGCCGCACTTGAACTCGCCTCTCTCTCTCTCTCTATATATATATATATATATATATATATATATATATATATATATATATATATATATATATATATATATATATATATATATATGCGGGGCTCTGTTTACTCTGTTTTTTGTGGTGTATTTTCCTAACATTGATGGTGCATATTTGTTGAACTATTGGTGTGGTCGCACCGTAAGACACTGCCGCACCTAAACTCGCCTCTCTCTCTCTATATATATATATATATATATATATATAATAGTCAGTGGTTTGGTGTTTAGGATTTGTTTTGGCTGTTTTAGATTTGATTTTCATCTATTATTTTGTTAAAGTTATTTCATCTCGTTTCGTTTGCGAGTTATTTCCTCTCGTGTCTTTAGCGAGATTTCCTCTCATTTATTTGACGAGTTTATTTTTTCATAAGGTGAAACAATTTATCTGTTAATGGAGTATGTTTGCTTCATCACAAGCACCGAAGAAGATCTAAACCTTGATATGCAGTTCAGATTAATGGAGATATTGTCTATGGACAGAAGAGTCGCAATAGAGTCAGACTTGGGTAGCAAGATCATTAACAATATCAAAGAAGCTTCAGGTTCTCCAAACGAATTCAGCTTCGATCTTGAAAAACAGTCAGCGATTCAAGTTTCATGTAGCATTGGAAATTTGTTTCAATGTCTGATTGTAATAATTTTTTATCATTCCATCGATCTTTTTGTAAACTTTTCATCGCATAATTAATGAATTAGCTCTTTTATTTCAAAAAAAAAAAAAAATCAAAGTTATAATACAAAATATGTTATATATATATATATATATATATATATATATATATATATATATATATATATATATATTTATTTATTTATTTATTTATTTATTTATTTATTTACCAAGTATTTTATACAATATAATAAATATTAATATTAATATTTGTTCAATACTTTCACATGATAACCTACGATACACATCTCACAACACATGAAACATGTAAGGGAAAAACTACCAAATATCAATAGATGCTTGTAAGATAAAGAGTTAATAGTACAGCTAAGATTCCATCATATACCCACCAAGGCAAATCTAAAGCTTCCTACATCATAATCTCATTGCACGGTGAATACATCTATGCTACCACCAGTAATCCAATTGCACATGACACACTACCAATAAAAAAAATAGGACATGTACTGAAGATGAAGACAATGACAATGCTATCCATAAGAGAATTAAGAAGAATTAGAGAAATTTAAACTAAAAGTAGTATTTATTAAGACTATCATTTTTAGACTAAGTATTTAGATAGCTGAAATCTTACTGTGTTGGAATGGATGTCAAAAAGTTCCAAGCACGCCCTAGCGTTATTACAAAGTTGCAAACATTTATTTTAGTGACAATAAAATCAATCTCTCATATATTATCTTACATTTATATACTTTTTTTTTTTAAACAAAAGCACACATATTATTGGCGGCGAATAGCTCGGGGGAGGCGAAACCTCCAAGGTCATACTTTAATTACCGTTTTAAATAAACAAATTCAGTATTTATTTACCTATGCATGAACATCTCCGATATAATATTGCATTGATATACTTTGAAAATACTTATTTAAAAATAATCATTGGGCATTATTTCGTTCGCGCAAAGCGCGTAAAAGAACTAGTATATCCTATAACTATCCAGATTTCGTCTAACCTAAAATTATATGAATTAGTATACTCAGACAAATTCAATATGGATAAAAATATGCAAAACAAATCCAGCATTAAAAAAAAACAATAATAATAAAAAAAAAACAGGACTCACACAAATTGAATAAAACCAATCAATTAGAAGGAACTAATTAATATGTCACTGCTGAAAATTATGGAATTTCCGACCACCTGAAAATGATCTTAAATCAAGTCAAAAGCCTTGTTCCGACCACTTTTGGTGTCCGGTAAAACCTTTATAGCTATTTCCGAGCACTTTTTACTTTAGATTTGATTTAAGATCACTTTCAGGTGATCGGAAATTTCATAATTTCCAGTAGTGTGTTAAGCGACCACTAAACCCATAAAACTGGAAAAAAAAATACCAATGTTGATAAAATGAGAAATTAAGAAAATCAAAATTATATCAAACTCTTCTATGCTAGAGTTTGCGGCAAAAAGTTCTGAAAATGCACACACAACTTTCTGTATGATGGGATACGGACCCGAGCTCGGAAGATTGACGTTGGCAGGTGGCACAATGAAGAGGATGGACGAGGGAACTGGGCAGAGTATAGCAAATGGACCAAGTCAGCCGAAGGGATAAGAGAGGACATGATTAGAGGATTCGGACCAACCATATCAAAATCCGTCTAGGTATAAGAGGCGCTATGGTTTGTGTGCCGGATGGGAGTGTTAGTCAGACCCTCACGATGAACATCACGGCATAATCCCTATCATCATGATTGCTGAAAATACGATTTTGATCCTTAGCGTCATGTTGACAATCATGATAGTGATAGTCAGCGTGACGACCAAGATTGAAATGCAGTATAACGCATCACGCCTTTCCTCACGATAGTCTTCAAAGCTCCACACTTTGCTCCTTTAGTACTCCAGGTTGTTTCATGCCATAATATCCTTGTTATGCACCACAATTGACTATATTTAACTCTGAACTAGAATATAATTTTTTGACTCACTGTTTAATTATATAGTACAGTACTCCGTATTATTTTTTTAAAACAGTGCTTTGAGTAAGACTATACTTGTTGGGAGGTGCATGCTAATTTTATAAGTTGAGGCATCTTGTGACACTTTTAAGAGTTCTTTAATGAGATATCATTCTACGGCAATTAGAAAATTCATAATTTTATTCTAATTAATGTATAATTCATTTCATTAAGATTTACCACCTCAATAAAAAATATTGAACTAGTGACTTCATAATAGATAAAAGTTCTCCTTCTAAGGATGTTTTATCCATGCAATACCATCTCACAATCAAAAAATGCACTTACATACACATTATCAAATTTACAAATCATTCTCTATTTTTCTATATTTCAACAATACTCTCTTACTCTCAAAAATGATATTACTTCATATTATATTATAATATAATAACAAACTAATAATAAAATAATAAACAAATTTATTTTTAAAAGATAGTAAACAAAAGTAGGCTTGCAAACTTTTTAATATTGAAAGTTTATAAGCCACCTGGCTTATAGAATAAAAGAAAAAAAACACAAGCTTCCACATCATCTTGCAAAGGTCAAACTTTGATGTATGTGTTTAGCCTAATACATGCTACATGTTTAAGATATCAATTAAATATTCTCTAATGGACATCATATTAATGTAAGAGTGCAAACAAAGTCGCTGAAATTTTATCTAATAAAATATAAAAATTGCAATAATAAAAGCACAAATATAGTTTGAAGATTTAAAACCCAATAAAGAAAAACAAACATTACATGTGAAATTTTATTAATCACTAATTGCATCATGAATTTTCTCGACGGGCGATTTATATTGATGCATGGATATTTGAGTATGCTTAACATCTTCAAGTAACTTTATTAGTCTCTTGTTTCCATTAACCCGAGCTTCATCAAGTGGTGTGATTCCTCTCCTATATATACAACCAAAGAAAGCACATTACGCAGTAGCTGCTATATAAAAACTTGATACATTCCAATTCGAATATAAGAGTAAATAAAAATTAGAATATATGAAGTTGTACCTGTCCATTGCGAAGACACTAGCCCCGGCTTCTAAGAGTAACGACGACATTTGATAAAATCCTTCAGAGGCAGCCACGTGAAGCGGTGTTCGGAGATCATAATTTTTAGAATTAGGATTTACTCCATTATCCAAAAGCCTATTCAAAAACTGTATATCCTTTTTTGCAACAACATTGCAAAGACAACTTCCAGCGTCTTCGATATCCAATGATGCTCCTGCTTTCACAAGCAAACAAGTGACATGATCATGGCCCCCCTTTATTGCTTCAAACAAGGGATTGTTGCCAAAGTTATCTGTAGAAACAAGCTAAGGGTATTAGTAGTAGAAAATTAAAACGTATCTAATAGTACGTTTTTCCAATATGAATATAATTTATGCATGTTCGCTAGCTGGCTCTAGTTAAATTTACCTCTAAGATTGATGTTCACCCCTTTTTGAACTAGAAACTGAGCAATATCTTCATGTCCCTTGGATGCAGCAAGATGCTATATTTGCACGCGGAAAATTACTATACGTTATTCCCCTCCCCTCATCAGTAGAATTGAAGCTATAACTTAACATTATTATATATAGTTTAAAAAATATACTACTATGACACCGGCCAATAAAGTAGCTAGCTAGCTAGCTCTAAATTAAAACAAATAATTAAATTAGATATACCAAAGGTGATTTTCCATTGTAATCTACGCCAGCAGGGTCTGCTCCAGCACCGACTAGACACCTCAGACGATAGAGATCTCCCTCATGAGCTGCACAATTTAATCTCATAGCCAACTCAGATTCATGTTTTGAGATGTTTAGTGTTATGTCCGACTCCAATATCTTCTTCCCAAGGTTTGGATCTTTTCCCTGGAATTTATCTATATGTATCACATAAGTGTATGTTCCATCTTAATGGTACGTTATGAAGATCCTAGCTAGCTAATCAATATGTATGTTCTCGATCAATAATCCTTAAATTAAAGAACTTGCCTCAAGGAGATTATTGATGATGTTTCGCCCATCAGAGAAGTACATACCGACAATCTCCAGAAATGTTTGCTTATCAATTCGCAGTAGTCTAGATAGTTCACCAACTTGAATTGTGTAAGGAACCGGGATATTACACAGTACAGAAACTTCACCAATGGTGCTGTAGGTGTCAAGACTGGTAACAGAGGAGGATCCATCTGTTCCATTTTCTTCTTCTTCTTCTTCTTCTGCAGCGGCGTTTCTTACTTCACCCTGCAGTCACAGCCAGTGCCCAGTGGCAGGCAGTCCGGGTTAATTCAATTCCTTTTTGCATTATATATATTGAATTGTGTAAGGCTAGCTAGCTAGGGATCGGAATTGAAGGCCATCCAGAAGCGAAGCTATACATACATACATACATACATACCAGTTTCCCATGGCAAACAAAGTAGAGTTGATCGGCCATGTTTCCCTGCTCCATTATTACTTCTCCTGGAAGGAAAAATTCTTCATGCACTCTGATTGCCTGCATTAGTTCAGAGAAAATAATCTAATTAAGCTTTTACAAACGAACACACAATAATATAATGTTAGTTTCATGTATACATAGACTTGAGATATATATATATTATTGTTAAATGGGTGGCTCTGGCTAATTACAATCTGTTTGATGAACCCATAAGAGCAATCTTTGAAAAGGGGGACCTCCCTGATGTAAGGCTCATACAATTTTCGTGAAATCTGCATATAAGAATTAAGTTAATAGTATTTAATTTCAGCGGCAATATATATAAATGAATTGTCTCACTACTGTATATTATTTATTACCTTTGCTCGAATAGAAACTGGAATATGTTGAAGAACCTCGGCTTCAGTATAACTGCTTTCATACTGTAACCTGACGTGGTTTTTAATCTCTTTGCTTATGCTCTTCCCTAGCTTGTTTCTGTTCATGTACTTGATAAGATCAGCCATTTTATCCCTAAACCTCTCAGTTTTTGATCCTCTAACAATTAGTGCTGCCATGTTACCCAGTAGATAAGCACCAAGAATCATGTCTAAGGAAACATAAGCCATAACAAATATCATTTCCCGGATGTTGACGGCATGAATTTCTCCATATCCTGATCGAATTAAAAAATATACATATAATAATTAATTTCATTCAATTCCAAGCATATATGCAAATGAGGCTAGATAGGTTAGGTTAGGTGCTTACCAACAGTGGCCATGGTAACAATAGCAAAATACAATGATGTGATATATCGTTTCCAGAGGTCGATATCTCTGAAGTGCGCATAACTATAATCACCTAACTTTAAACTTCCTATCCAGGTATAACCTTCCTGCGACGGAGGCACTGTGGTAGCCAGGTAGTAAAAGATGCAGGCAGCCGTATGTGTGCAGTATAGTTCAACCACAAAAAGTTTTACAATCCTGGTAAACAGATAATTGATACGGATGTCTTTCTCCAACTTTTCAAAAAACTCGCTCACTCTAAGCGCTCGACTTAGCCTAATCCACAGAAGATACCGGACAAGCTCTTTTCTGCCACAAGCCTAGCTAGTATAACACATATATACATACGTGCAAATCAACAAACACACACTGAAATTATATAAAGAAATAGATAGAATATAATTGAAGAAAAAAGGTTATATATATATATATATATATATATATATATATATATATATATATATATATATATATATACACGTACGTACCTTGTAAATAGCATCCCATGGAAAGCATCCGAGCACATCAACCAGAAAACGAGATTTCAAGTAGCGGATAGCAATTTGGTTGGGATTGAAGACAATGCGGTAAGAGTGAGTGTCGCGGTAGGCCACAAAGAAGCGCACAACTACGTCTATAAGGAAGGCAATTTGGCCAGCTATGTCTAGAAGGAAGAGATTCTCCGGGAGGCCTCTGAAGAATCCAAACTCCAGCGGAGTGAAGAATGAGGAGTAAACAGCCCATATCAGAATGAACTGCGTCCACAGTAGGTACCACCTGCATGCCAGGCCAGCCGCCTTAATAATTACGTAATAATTTTTCAAGTAAACAAATTAATTAAAGCAATCCCCCATATATGCATGGCATGGCATCAATCTGCGCGCCGGCCGGGGGGCAGAGAGGTGAATTATTATTTTGAACAACGGAACATATACTGACCTATTATCAGGATGGATGAGGAAGCCATGGCATGAGTGCCCGGGTGTTTGCCTGCTACTATTGTGCGATCCATTATTCCTAAAACTACTAGTACGGAGATCAAATGAGCCAGCGTAGTTGAGAAATTTCTTCCAAGAGGTAGAGGACTTGTTGGATCCTTGACCTGCTAGATCCTCAATCCTATACTCTTCTTCATCTTCTGAGTAGTCTTCACCAGACGATCTTCTTCTACCTCTATCCATGCCTCTCCAGCCTAGCCTTTGATTTAATTATATAAGTATATAGGATAGATTGGTCTTCTCTTAATTACGGAGTAATATTAATTGAAGGCCGGCCAGATGTGAATGCATATATTTATGATGAAGCAAAGCTAGCTAGCTACTACTAACTACTCTTTAAATGCACACGTACACATACAAATTAATTACACTGTATGTTATCATCACTTGGTATAGTACAGCAAGTCTTAGACAGAATATAATATAGTGGTGGTAAGAGTATATCATTATATTCCAATATCGCCAAGAGCGAATATAGCACTTTTACTTTACCACTATCGATTCTAAATTCTATACACGGAATATATCAATTCCCAGCTAGATCTATTCTGTTTCCAATTGTTTTGTCTCTGTGGTTGAAGTGATAACATGTTCTTCTCTAGCCGTCCCAAGATGTGGAAAATACAATTCTGATACTATACACACACACATGTATATATAATTTAAGGGGTAAGGAAAGAATATGAATCTTATGCCCAAGATGCGAAGAGCAGGATTCCTCTGATTGAATTAATTAAGTGGGGTCTAAAGTAGTCTTTATAAAAATGTGGGTAAAAATGGTAGAATAATAGTGATTAATTTTTGTTTGTGCTATTTTGTTATGCATATTTTGGTACATGAATAGATTAACTATGTGCTTTCAATGTACAATTTAGTAAAGGGATTAGTCATTGTGTCTCACGGTGAAAATTCTGAATTACACAAAAAAAATAGTGCTTTAGATATTATGTCTAAAAGGATCTTCATTTCAATGAGGAACAATTAATACCTCTTGTTCAAGCAAGAAGGATCGATTTTGCATATGTTTTTGAGCTCAATTGAATATTCTAAAGTCATCTTGGTACAAATATGTGTGTTCGGAAGTCTTGGGAGGTCAAGAAAGTGAAAAAAGCGAGTTAATAATATCATGACATGACTCGAGGACTCAAATAAACAAAATCAATGAAGAAATATGCATTTTGGAATAAAGATCAATGCTCAAGCTAACACTCATGCCGTGAGTGTCAGCTTGGTTCTATTCTGTTTTCTCTATCAGATGTCGTCTCAGTATTTTAAAAATATCTTATCGTAAAAATGTCTAAATCAAGTGATTAAAATGGCATTGGAAAGGTAATCGAAAGAGTTACAACTTCTATGGAGATCATAAAGTCTAATTCAAACATTTACGCGACAAAATATGTCTTAGAAACTAGGGGTGAGTGTTTTGGTATTTAGTTCGATTTTTTGATTTTAGTTCGGTTTAAAAAAATGAAACCATTTGATTTAACATTATAGTTCGGTTCGATTTCAGTTTGGTTTGAAAAAGTTTAATTTCGGTTAAAAATTAGTTTGATTCGGTATTTGGTTCAGTTTAGGATGCTACTGATCTTGTAGCAAGGATAGTATGGTGTTTTTATATACGGAAACAATAAAAATCAATCAAAGGCATCGTCTTTGTTATGGAAACAATAAAATTCAATCAAAGGCATTTTTTTACTCATTTTACTTGCACTTTATCCCAGATTTAATCTCATTTTCAAGTCCCAAAATGTAGATATTGTAACATTTTCATTATAATGACACTATTAAGTGGTGCAAGTTTAATAGGTCATTTATGGCTATTATGTTGTGGTTTGAAACGGAAGTAACGGTTTCCGTTACTTAGCCTATAATGATGGCATGTAGGCTATTTAAGCATGGTCCTCCCATTGCTCCTATTGCAGCTTTACAACTACACCATCTAGTTCATACAAGAGATTAATGGTAGACAACAAAACATTAATCTATTGGAGTTCTTGAAGCAACAATGCAATGCAACAAAGTGTCAACTATGGCTGGAGTTTTGCTTGATCATTATGCTTCCGCTATGAGGTTAGGTTATCACATGTGTTCAAATTGTGTGTATATTCTAGCAGATATCATGTCAAAAGAGCTCTTATTTGCTTTGTTTGTGCATTTAGGTGCAATATCTCTCACTTGAATCAAAAAGGAGAATTTTCATGCATTTTGGAGGGTATTGGAGCCAAATTAAGCATATTGGATGCATTTGAAGTCAATGGGAGCTAAGAATAAGCTAAGGAGAAAACTAAAATACTTCCAAGAGACCTAAGGAGTGTTGTCTTCAATAGTCTTGATCACTTGGGAAAACGAATGCAGAGTGGAAAAAGAGAGCAAGAAGTTACAATTTTCACGTGCGCATCTTTCACACTTTAGGGTTTAGGGTCTAGGGTCTGACCCTGTTCCTCCGCCAGGACCATTTTTATTCAACAGCAGCATTCAATCCGAGCCATGCTGAGTGGGTCTGACCCTGTTCCTCCGCCAGGACCATCCATGCTGAGTGGGTCTGACCCTGTTCCTCCGTCAGGACCATTTTTATTCAATGGTATTCAATCCGAGCCATGCTCAAGGTTCGGGGGGCACAGGGAGAGTGCAGGGCCCAGTATCGTTTAGCAACAATATTCCAACCCTGTTCCTCCGCCAGGACCATTTTTATTAAACAGCATTCAATCCGAGCCATGCTCAGGGTTCGGGGGGCACAGGGACCATTTTTACCATTTTTATTCAACAGCAGCATTCAATCCGAGCCATGCTGAGTGGGTCTGACCCTGTTCCTCCGCCAGGACCATTTTTATTCAATGGTATTCAATCCGAGCCATGCTCAAGGTTCGGGGGGCACAGGGAGAGTGCAGGGCCCAGGATCGTTTAGCAACAATATTCCGACCCTGTTCCTCCGCCAGGACCATTTTTATTAAACAGCATTCAATCCGAGCCATGCTCAGGGTTCGGGGGCACAGGGACCATAAAAGCCATGCTCAAGGTTCGGGGGGCACAGGGAGAGTGCAGGGCCCAGGATCGTTTAGCAACAATATTCCGACCCTGTTCCTCCGCCAGGACCATTTTTATTAAACAGCATTCAATCCGAGCCATGCTCAGGGTTCGGGGGGGGGGGGGGGGGGGGGGGGGGGGGGGGGGTGGCACAGGGACCATAAAAGCCATGCTCAAGGTTCGGGGGGCACAGGGAGAGTGCAGGGCCCAGGATCGTTTAGCAACAATATTCCGACCCTGTTCCTCCGCCAGGACCATTTTTATTAAAAAGTGTTGAGTTATCTTTTCTCCTAAAGAACATATTCGCCAAGGTGGAGATTGTTGTGTTTGTCTCATACTAGGAGTAGGAGTGAAACGGGTAGACCTATTGTATAGGGATTGGATGCCTATAAATATATTGGTTGTATCCCTAAAGGGTTGTGTGTCACCATTACACCATCACAAATAATAAGAGAATACTTTCACTCCCGTGGATGTAGGCACATTGCCGAACCACGTAAATCTTGTCTTCTTTATCCTTTACTGCCATTATTATTTTTCTTGTTCTTATTAATCTCAACAAATTGGTATCAGAGCTCTGTTGAGATGACCAGTTCAAGTACAAAATTCGAGGTATCAAAATTTGATGGTACAGGGAATTTTGGGTTATGGCAATCTAGGGTAAAGGATTTGTTGGCACAACAGGGTCTTCTGAAAACTTTGAAGGCGGATAAGCCAGCTAATCTGGAAGAGGAAGATTGGGAAGATTTGAAGGAGCGTGCGGCAGGGACCAATCGGTTATGCCTAGACGATGGAATTGTGTATCACGTTATGGCCCTGGAAGCCCCAAAAGAAATTTGGGATAAATTGGAAACTCAGTTCATGGAAAAATCTCTTACGAACAAACTGTATCTTAAGCAAAGGCTTTATGGGCTTAAGATGGAGGAGGGTTCAGACTTGGTGCATCATATTAATGTCTTCAACCAGATAATCTCAGATCTGGCCAGGCTTGATGTCAAGATTGAAGATGAAGACAAGGCGATGATCTTGCTATGTTCATTACCTTTTTCCTTTGAACATCTGGTGACTACTCTAACATACGGGAAAAGCACGATTAAATACAGCGAGATCTCTGCGGCCCTGCAGGCTCATAATAAGCGCTTGCAGAGTGGATCGTTTGTTGGTGAAAGTTTGTATGCTAAAGAGGGTCAGGATCGTGGAAGGAAACAAGAGAAGGGTAATTCTGGGAGGAGAAACTCTAGGTCTAAGTCCAAAAATAGCAGGAAAATCCGGTGCTACAAGTGTTATGAGATTGGGCACATAAAGAGAGATTGTCCAAAGTTGAAAAAATAACAAGAGGCGGCGAACATGGTGCATGCTGATGAATCTTATTATAGTGAATGTGATGTTCTAGCGGTAACTAGTAACAAGTTCGAACATTGTTTGGACTTGTTGGGCGTTTCTAGATGCTAGATGAGAAGGTGGTGAGGGGCGCTGTGGTGTTGGGCAGCGCGGATACCAGGAGGGGTCGTGGACCTGGTATCGATATGGGTCAATATTGGCTCGGTATGGGCTGGGCTTGTCATGAGTCACAGCTAGTATGGGCTGGGCTCTTGTCACGAGTCACGGCTGGTATCGGTATGGGCCAGTATGGCACTGGTATAGTGGTATGGGCTAGTATGGCACTAGCATGGGTCGGGCTTGGCATAAGTCACGGCTGGTATGGGAGGACTTCTCGGGACGACGTAGAAGTTCGTGAACATGCACTGGGAAACTTTTGATGCTGTGTTGTGCGTGTTGCTGGCCAGTGGTAATTGCTGGTTAGTGGAGCATTGGGCAAGGCACACGGGTTTAGTGTGACTTTGCAGGGGCGCTGTTGTGTTGGGGCAGCGTGGATACCAGGAGGGGATATGGACCTGGTATGGGCCGGATGCAGGAAGTCAGCTGAACGGGGCAGTTAGCATGAGTCGCGGCGGTATAACAGGTCGACGGCTGAGAGGCGAATGGCTTGGAACAAAGCGGTTCGTGTACATGCTGGAAAACGTTTGATGCTGAGTGGTGCATATGGCCGGCTAGTTGGGATAAACATGGTTGTTCCTACCCATGTGTATATGTGAGATAAGTCTTTTTCTCCTAAAGGACATATTTGCGAAGGTAGAGAAGTCTTTTCTCCTAAAGGGCATATATGTGAAGGTGGAGATGGTGAGATAAGTCTTTTCTCCTAAAGAGCATATTCGTCAAGGTGGAGAATTGTTGAGTTATCTTTTCTCCTAAAGAACATATTCGCCAAGGTGGAGATTGTTGAGTTTGTCTCATATATGGATTAGGAATAAGTGTTTGTCTCATACTAGGAG